CCATTCAGTATATTTAAATCTAAGAAATTGGTACATTTGGTTTGCTAATATTTTAAATAATATTTGATTAAGAATGGTACTGTAATGTTAATTATAAAAATAATGTTTCCTCTGATATTATTGCACAATCTGCAAACGTCAATATACACTTAACTTGGAGCCTATGACCTGAGTTTCAGATATAAAATCCCGACAGAACATGAAGGGGGATAAAAGAGACACCTTGGCAATTTTTGACAGCAATGACCATGACATCAGATTTTCTTACAAATAACACAAACTCACTGAATATGAGCGATGACTCGACAACCCAAAAATTGTAACAGCAGAAAGATTCTCCTCTAAAAGAATGAAAGAGTGTGGGAAAAAAAAATTAGGTTACCATTACCAGACACAGTAATTTTAAGATTACTACATAAACTCTTATGTGGGGGAGGTCTTTTCATGGGAACTATTCCAGACACAGAACCAAATGTGAGGTTCATGACCTATACACAAACCTAAATTAAAATATAGGTCAGCCTGAGTTTTTAAATGTTATTTCATACTGACAATACATTAAGGTGTGGGAGTTTGACAAGTTCACCATTCATAATGTTGTAATACTTTCCTGTTACAGTATCAAAACCTGTTATTAACTGAATTATTACACTCTGTTAAAAGAGCAGAATTTGTAAAGAAAGAGAAAGATCGGGTAGTTTTCTTTTTCAATGAATGAATAGATTTTTACTTTTTTCCTGCTTGAACAAACAAATTCAATAAGATTTTTGATATACATCTTGTATAAAAATTACAGATAAGGTCAAAAGCCTTTGAAACAAAAATATCCATGATATGTCAGCTTTTTTCCCCCTGTTCATTAGATTCACAAGATATGAATCTATCTCACTTTCTTATTGTGACCATAGACTTACAAAGGCTTTACCTTTAATATTGATCTATAAAATTAAAAATACCTGTACCAAACAAGGGTTATGTCCTCAAATCAAAGGCACCCCTTGAGTCATTAGTCAATTTTAAGCACAAGTATACATGGCAAAGATGTCTTGATGAGGATTATTTATATGAAACATGCTTTAGCAGCATAAGATAAAATCTAGTCGCTGTATCAGGGTGGCCTCAATTGAACTGTTAGCAAGGTTAACACAAAGTATTGCGCAAAATGCTCAATGTTTCTGAAGCAGTATTTATTTTGAATTGCACATGGATTATTACCACAGAACTTACTTGGAACAAAAAAAAATCCATGATAATTAGCAGAAAAGGTAATAAGGATAACTTTTCTATTTGATTACAGATCTTAAAACACACACTTAAGTCAACAGGTCAATTGTTTGACCTTGGGATGGTGAAAGAGAATGTTTGAAATTGTTAGTGATTAAAGACAGGATTATTAGAAAACTAGGTTAAATTGATACAGGTGAGGTGAATGGACGGAAATATCCAACCTGTTGGTTATGACAGGTAAACTTAACTTTTACTGCCAGATTAACACTTACCTGGTGATATTGACAAACTGATTAGTTAGCACAATACTAGAATATTATAACTTTTAACTATTATACTGCCTTTAACTTCTATATATATATAGATATATAGATTGCAACAATCTGCAAATCATTAGTCTTGGATTTTGGTATTATAAATAAATCAATTTTGTTCAAACTTTCACGAAATCACAAGCAAATTACTAGTATTGAAATACCTATTATATCAATTTCATAACACTGAGAACAAATATAAAGCATAGTATATAGTGTGTATTTACTAAATAAAATTATTATATTCTAACAGTAGAATCTCCATGTGGATACTCAAGAACTGCAGGACTAATCCACAGCCCAGAATGTTCAGAATCATTATTTGTTGTCAGATGAGAGTACCAGGGAAGCCATATTTTAAACTGTCACAGTTGTTAAAGAGTTAGAACAGTTGTGTAAAACTAAAATTTAGCAAGTGTTTCTAGGTACCAGCATGTGATTAGTTATTACCCCAGTTTTTTATTTACTTGATAAAACTGATCCGAGCTCTGCTAAACCATGTGTTCATATACAGATATTTGTCACTGTTATAAGACAAGTGAACATTGAATGTCAAGCATGCCAAATGTCCACCATTCACAGGAAGTCAACTGTACTGATTGGATATTAATCTTGTGATGTTTTGTGGTAACAATGGTTAAAAGTTAACTCAGTAACATATCTGAAAGATTTGAGAGGAAAATTCTACCTGTCTTTAAATCTCTCTATCAATATTGACACCACTATATTCTATTACTGTTTTCACCAGTGCAATACAGTGAATTTAGGGGCTGATTTGTTTAAGACTTCCTTTAGTCAATAATGTTGAAGAGATAATGTTGACCAGTGTATTGTCTACCAATGTTTATTGTATGTCTGGTCATTTATTTTCACTCATGTCTTTTTTTATTGCCATTGACATTCAGCTTCTGATAAAGTCAAATTACAAATTTCTCAGGTGTAAAGGTGGAAATAGACAAGTTATGGTGTCCCGTGCAGTGAACGGTTGTCGATACAGTAGAAAATAGTAGAAGCAAATCATGTCTGTGTGTTGACTTTTTCAATTTCAACTGTATTGATAATCCTGCATAATGTACACCACACCTGCCAACGTGCCTTGTCTATAGGAGAAATTAGCTTAGCCATGATATGCTTAAAATATAACACATGCTTGACTTGAGTAGGAGAATTGGTGGGACAAATCACACTTACAACTGTTAAAGTTGTTCATCATGTGCTACACAAACCCATCTCTATGACATCATGGCCGATATCTTTTATTCCCAGCTTTAGACTTAACTAAATAAATTGATATTTTGCAAACTGTATGCATTAACCTGTGCTACATATATTATGTTTTTTCAGCATCTTATTTGACAAATGAAAGATGAGATCATTAAGTGTTTTAAACTAGAAATAATCATTTCAAATTTCTACTAGAGTAAGTGGTCTAGCAAGAAAGAAGGGAGTTTTCTTTTCTTTAAACTTTGGTTATTTACATTTATTTATTAGCCGTTGACAGTTATTAGACAACATTCTGTAAGAAATGTCAAATTCAAAACGTGTCCAGCCTTTATTTCAAGAACTAAGTTTATGTCAACACAAATAGTTTATATATTTAGACTGAGACAGAAAAAAGCTTTTACAGATCTAATAGTATCAGATCATTTATATCTGGTTTAAAACTTAGTCTTCTTACTGATCTAAACAGCTGGAAGAACTACCTGTATCTCGGTCTTAATTGCAAAATACAATGTAAACTTAATTTCTTGAATACAAAAGTGGCTACAAATAAATAAGACCTGTATTTCCAGACCTTAATTTCATAAGAAAAGAACGGTTAAAAATCTACATTTCACAGAGAAAAAGAAGTATGAAAGCACATTTCAAACCTAGAAAATCAGCCCAGAATTTTGCACAAAAAGAAGCCAATAAAAAAATTCTGGAACAGGAACGAAGCAAGATAAAACATGCATGAAAATTTTCGTGGTACCATCATTGGAATAGGTTTTTGCTGCTTTATCATTACAAAATGGGTTAATGATTGCAGGCTATAATACTGTAATGAACACGGTTACTTTCTAAGTAAATTCAAGCATTAAACTGATGTAGAACTTAAATGTATACTGATTCACATCTGTTCCACTGATATTTATGTTAAATTACACTGAAGTAATGAATGAAAGATGCACTTGATAAACATAGTGCTATTTGTTATACTTCACACCAATTTTACATAAAACTGTTTTTCACATGTAATCAAAATATTATGAATGTAATTTAACCTTGGTCTTCGTCCTCACTTTTTTCCCATGTAAATCACATTAACTATCCTTCTATCCTTCTCTAAGTAACACATAAAAATGCCTGAAGTCTGGAAATTGTGGAACTGTACATGAAAATCAAAGCTTCTGCTTTATAACTCCACTGGACAAGACTGGCATATATAATGATACAACATCCCTGACAGAGAGATCATAAAAAAGTTGTATTTTTATAAAATATCTTAATCAAAAATCCAACAAAATCGATGACTAGATTTTCAAAATTCATAATCATGTTTTGAGGTATTGGTATATAAGAAAATCTTTATCCTTTTTCCTTTATTCAAAACTTGAACATTAACCGTCTAGATTTTAAAACATTCTTCTGATCTTTTTTATACAAAAATCTGTTAGTTTATAGAAACAGATATTGTCCACTGAAAAATTGATACATGAAAGTTTGAAAATAAAACTAAAGAAAAAAAAGCATGTCTTAGAAGTATTTGTATTTGAGAAGAAAGGGATAGTGTTGATAATGAGAGGAAAGAAATAAGGAAGGAGAAATAAAGAAGATAGAATAACAGAAATGTAGATGAGATATCCTATATGGCATAAAACATCTGTCAAACTACCAATCCAACCTGGTCTCACTTTAATAATAATAAACTTTTACTTTTAATTCCCTTCAAAATATCTCATGTACTAAAATATGTGCATCTGGTTTGATTCTGCAATACAACTGAGTTAATCAATGAGGCATCAGGTGTTCCAAAATCGTGAGCATGATAGGCTCATATAAAACAAGTTTAAAACTAGTTTTTGTTATCTTGAACAGAGAAAAGAAGCCATGTTCCCATACAATAACCAATAACTTACTTATAATATCCTTTCAGACTTTTACACAAAGAAAGTATTGAAGTATCATTTACCATATGTTAAAAATTAAAGAAGAAAATAATAAGGTTAAGAGATAATCCTTTACTTCCATCATAAAAGGATTTTAGATAATATTCATAACTTTATACAAATATTTATTATGAAATAGTATGCTTATTGAATATAACCATTTACATAGGCCTGATTATAACAGTATGCAGTAAGCACTCATGGTAACATGAACCAGATCACAACTGATCAAAATGATCACAAAAGTGATATAAACTGATAGCAAATCAATTTCTGAAATGTAATCAATTAAAAACTACTGAAATCTTACTCACCTTCTTGTTGATGAGAAAATTCCATAATAAAGATTCTATATAATAATTGGTTCCACCAACAATGATTGGTACCTTTTCTTCTGATATCAGTTTATCAATCTATGAATTACTTGTCAAGAAATTTTTTTAATGGCATTTGTGTGTACATACAATATACTCAGCATTTTGGAAAAGCACAAAAAATAACCAGTGATTGTTGTTCCATAAAGCTGTTTCCCCAGATACTTGTCAACTAAATCTAATTTTGGATTAAATCATGCATATATATCTGAGCTTTTTAAAATTTTACGAAGTTCACTTAATATGCTTAACAACCTGGTGGCAAGACTGGAAATGAGTAAAGCTTTTTAAAATGAGATTGTGTATAATCAAATAAAACTAAATTAACTTTAGTTAAATTTGTTCATATCTATTAATCATTTTTTAAACTATTCATATATGACTACTCAGGACTCAAAATAAATTAGATTAAAGTATTTTCAATCATGCTGAACACATCTTAGTTTTAAAAAGGATACAATGGGCAGAGCTTTATTTCTAAAGTTGACAACATTATGTGAGTATTGTAAAGGACTAAGATAACTAATCATATGATGAGGACATTCATCTTGTTCTTGTGGTGTAACTTTATTTGTTACAATATCTAACCCTTTATAAATCTGAAAACACAATTCATTACAGTTCAATAACTATCTAAAATTGAGATTCACTGACGTTTGTTTAACACTTATTTTATTTATCAGTTTGACACATTTGACAAATCCGGGATTTGGGTAAACAAAAAGTAAGAAGGTATTTAAAGAGCAGGTAAGATAGATATTTTGTGCCATAACACACATATTTTAACACTCTTTTGCGAAAAGAATTTATCAAAACTATTTGTACAGCACAAAAGCTCCTACACTGTGTCCAATTTTTTTTCAAACCCATTAGTAATCTCAGTTTTTGTCATTCCCTGCACATTAAACTATTACTGAATGTACCTGATATTCCCAAATTCCATAAAAAAAAATCAGTAAAATTGGTTCCCTGTAAAAAGTTTTCAATTTTAGGAGAGTAGGAATCTGCTTTTACAAGGTAGTCAAATTTAGCCATTGTTTGGATTTATGAATTTTCCCCATATTGAAACGTTAGCTTAGCAAGTGTCATGTTTTTATCTATATCAGGAAATTGAAAACTGATAGTATCACTAACTATAAACTAATTAGTTGGAAGGTCTGTTGAGATATTAGTCTAATATTAGAAAATATTTCTTTACAGTCTACAGTGAGAGTGAGAAATAGAAACAATTCCATCGTAACAGACTAGTACATGATGATCAGTAAGAGAGTAGTCACTATTCACCAAAAGGGACTTTTATTCTCTTACGCACTTACTTGCATGGAATCAGTGCTAATTATCTCGCCGTTAAATCTACGACCTATTTCTATAGCTAACTTGGATTTCCCTGTTCCTGTAGCTCCCAAAACTACAACCACTGGAATTCTTCTACAGGGGGCTGCCATCTTGAAAATGAACGCCACCTATGTAGTAAGGGAGGCAACTTAATCATTCTTATATGACTACGACAACAATTAAATCAATATAAAAAATATTAAGGAAAAAATGCTGTAAAATCTTGTAATGAAATTTTTAATTACTGAACTGATACTACTGCTTTTTGATGCAATGTGTTCCAACTTAAAATTGAAAAAAGAAAGTATCAATGTATCTCATGATTTGAAATTATAGCAGTGACAAATATGTAGGAACTCTTATTTCCACAATTGAGATAAATCTACCGGTATTTTAGTTCACTTCTCTTCCCCAGATTGTTAGAGTTTACTCGATAATCGAGTAAGGAAAACCAAAGAAACATCCATTTTTGAGAAAAGGATGACATTCTTTTAAACACCACACCTTGATTAAAAACCACAACCACCCAAAGAGTCAGTCTGGTTTTGGCCCCTAATATCAATGTTGGACATGTCAAGAATATGATGCCAACTTCCAACTTAGTAATCAAATGTTCTACAGCCTGTTCTCAAATCAAAAACAGCATGAATTGGGTTCTGCACATTAAGAATCCCAGTATTTACATTCAGTTGCAATTGGCGAAAAATTCTGTGCTCTATCCAAAACTTTTCCAATTAACTTATTATGCTGAAGCCAAGGAACATTTAGATAGAAAGGAGATTTCGAACAATTTTGTCTCAGATATAAAACAACATTATAAAGTTCAGTAATCAAACGTTTATTTAAGGTTTTCAAATCATTTTCAATGACCTGTCTGGTCACTGCTTGACATTTCAAAAAAAAAAAAAGAAAACCAGAAGAAACTTCCCTACACCTGAGGGTTAAATTAAAATGCCACAAGAGCTACAATGTGATTGGAATTGTCAAAATGAAATAAATGCCAATTTTATAATGCCCAAAGTTTAAATGTTTTATACAATGGCAGTTCCTTATAATGTGTAAAATGATTATTATCCAAAGACATTGCAACTCTTTTCAAAAAGCCCTGTATCAATAACACAAATAGATATAATTTGCATATATACAAAGTCATAAACAAAAATAATATTTGTAAAATACAATATTAACAAAACTTAACAGAATGCCACTATTAACATAGTATTTAGGGGATTGTAATTCAGAACATGAAACCTTCTATATACCTGAAAATGTAGATTTAACACAAAAAAACATCCACACATATTATATTCTGGTATTCTTCATAATTAATAAATGTACATTTTATTCAAGTCATCAAAAATTGATTTTCATAATTCAAGTGGGATAAAGCAAAACTTATTTTAACTTCTTTCAATTGAAGACCTTCAAACGTCTTGATAATCAATTATCAAAAAATAAAAAGAACATCTCAAATCAGGGCAATCAATTCAACAAATATCAGATTTTTGTTTTCAGTCTGGTATAATTGTAGTTAAATCTGGGTACATTTAAAGTTGATAACGACAATCCCCTAAATCATTTTATCAGGGTTGTTGATGCTAAATTTTTTTTTTTTTTAAAGTTAGCAAGATTTGCAGATAATTCTTAAAAAATTTGGCTGATTTCACTTTGCAACTCAATTTCTGGTGAAACACTGCAATCAACAACCCTGATCTGAACACAAATGATAAGTGAAATTAGTGATTATATATGATTATGGAATTCTCGGTATAATGGTCAACAAATTTATGGAACAGGCCTTTTCAGCCAAGGAGAGATATATTAAAAACATATGAATAGAATTCCTCTCCAAGAAGCAAAAAGGTCTGTTTGAACACTACGGCAGTGAAAATAGCACACACGATACTAGAGTTTAAAGAGGTAGAACCAAGATCTCATCTAGTCAGTCTATAGAATATTCATCATCATCTGTTTCTATTTCTTCTTGTAACATTGCTAATTTCTTTCTTAAAGCTTCATTTTTCTGTCTTAAAGCACTGATTTCACGTGTGTTTTTGTTATCTGTCCGTCTTAAAGAATGAATGTATTCTGAAGCTTTTCGTAATATTAACACTTTAGGAGCTTTCTCCTTACTGTCTAATTCTGGAACATGATCACGTAACACATAAAAACTGTCTTTCAAATCGTTTCTCCGCCTACGTTCCAAAACATTATGTAATGTCCTCTTTCCCTCACAATTTTCTTCACAGTCTGATACTAAATCCAAACTAGAGGATTTTAATTTACGTGCCACCGATTTCAACACTGGTTCTGTTTGATGATCGCGCTTTAAGCGTTTATGTGAAACAAGTGTTTGTGTCTGTTGAGGTGTAGATCGGGTGCGTTTTAGTCCATGTGAATAAGGTAGGCTGTAATTGTGAACACTGATAGCTGAACAGTCTGAATTGGACACATATTCCTTAGGTTCCATTTTCACTTTAACACATGTATTAGTCCGAGTTTCAATTATACTCCTGGCAGAACATATCCTGCTCTTTGCTGGAGAAGGTTTGGGAGATAATGGCTCTTGTTTTATTTGCACTCCAATGGTTACTAGTTTTTCATCTCCAGTGGATACAACATCAACTTCTTCATCTTCTGAAAAAAGAACAGAAATTTCTGTAAAAACAATGCTTAATTTTCATACAATTTATCAGCTCATTGAACAATTTTCAAATATCTATTGATAAGTTTCACTGATAGTCATGAAGATGTACAATATTAAAAATATCTGTACCTGAATCTGATGGAGTTTCTGTACCCAGGCTGTGAATTCTGGTGTCGTAAATTGGATATGGAAAAACTGCTGTAGGGTCCACACAATCTGGTGATGGTATACCATCAATTGGTGCAACACTTCTCAATTTTGTAGCTTCAATTACTTTATTGGCATGATTTCCAGACCACATGCAATCTTGAATTAACTTAGAATGCAAGTTCGGATTCAATGGTGGTGATTCTGGATAAGTCATTTCTAAATGATTGGGATTCAAAAATATATCCTCAACATTCATTAAGCTTGAAATATCTGCATCATCATCTAGGTTGAATTCAGAAATTGGTTCTCGTTTGGGTGATCTTGGTGGTGTGGGAAGAAGTTCAAATTTTTTCCAAATATCTTCACTTGGAGTTGGTGTATTGAGAGAATATAATTCTTCTGAATCATCATTCATAAAGCATGGCTGGTATTCAAAGTAATCTTCCATTTTGTGAAAAGGCATTTTCTACAAAATAAATTATAAATTTAGTCAAGTCAGATCAAAGCTGTTTTACGGACTAACATCAATCTAGTTACAAGACAAATTGTAGATAGACATTAATGCAGGTCATTCAACTCTTGGCAAGTACTCGCACGAGCTATACTTGAACTCGTGAAGCTCGACTAGACACGCCCCCTTTTTTTACAACCTCACGGTGAGTTTCATCTTATTAAACAAAAGATCATAAAATATCATTTTGACAGCTTATATTCTCATTTTCCAAAGAGTATACTTTTTAAACACTATGTGTATATCAAATTTAACAAACCAAATAATTGCGATATTGTACAATATGTTCCTTGTCGAATGACGTAAACTTGCTGATGAGCCACGTGAAACCCACGTTGTCCCGTCAGAGTATACAGCTTGCGGATCCAACACATTGAAACACCAGTATGACACGAAATCTTCTAAGTAATATCCCTTAATTACTTCAGAGATGTTCAATAATGATAATTTACACGGTTGTCAAAGACAACGTAACCGAAATTATTACAAAATATTGTGAAACATGTTGTAGACACACACGCCCATTCCTTCACGAGCCGACATGATCTAAAAATTTCATTCCAGACAAGCCGGTATTTGATGGTCAAAATAGTGAGTCGGCATTGATATATCATATAAAGTTGTTCAAAACGTTTCAAGTAACTTACCAGTTTCTTAAAACTATATGTATGATGTTCCAAAGAGCGTATTTTAGATATCCGAGACATTTGCACTTCTCACGCCAGTTGAGGCCAATGTACGAAGTAAGAACTTGTCCTAGACTAAATGAAGCTGTACACTGTATCCAAATTCCTACGCTATCCAATCACCTTGCTTCAAGGTTGCGTTTATCAGTTTAAAATAATCGTATTTTGATGTGGAACTAGTATTGAGACTTTTAGTAGACTAACCTTGAATTGAAATTTTAAAACATTGTCCCAAATCAAATGATCTTGAAATGAAATTCTACAGATATATAGGGAACTACATTTTATAAGATTTTTATAAGGAGATATTAGGCTTGTGGCGGGAAATATTTAGGGCGTGGCTATGAATATTGATGAGATTGACCAACCAATGAAAATCTTTGTGTATTTAACCTGTCAGGTTCACGCATTACCTATGAATTGAAGCTGTTATGAATAGGGTTGAAATACACACGAGAGTATTGCTCCTCTCGAAATTCATGTGCTAAGTGGATTGAAATTGTGCCACTGTTCTCTTGTCATCTACTGGAGACAATCATGAAAGCTGTTACGAGACCAATTGTTGGTTATGCAGTGTCTCTAATTGCATTATAGTAATAATAGTAAAAACACGTGGACCACATTCACAAGATACACGTGCCCAGTTGTAAATTTACGTTTTAACTGAAATGATTGAAATGAGTGTGAAACGTTATCAAATTGTTCAAGTTGTTATAATTCTTACAGTGAAAAGGAGAACTGTTCATTTCAATGAAGTCATTATCTTCAGACGGTTAGGAGGGCTGGAGGGGGATAAGAGGTGTGATATTGTGAAAAATTGTGTGATAGTATTCAGCTTCTTCTTTAATCCATAGTGGTGTCTATGACCTTAGCTCTGTATGAACATAAACTGATATCATTTGACCAGAGACTGGTCTAATGTTCATACTAATTCGCCTGTGTGCTAAAATCTGACGTAAAAGATCAGGGATAATCTTTATTCTTGTATTGATAAGCAATCAAGCCAATCCACACTAATTTGTATCCATTTATTTACAGGGTAAGGAGCGTGCGAACTTTGTACGTCCTCTGTTAATGCTGATCCCTGCCTCACCACTTCTACATTTTAGAGGACTTGTCTCAAATCCGAAGCCAATTAAGTCTTTTACAATACATGGCAAATGCTAGTAGATATGACACTCTTTTGTTTTCAACTTTTTGAGACTTTCTAGTCAGATCCTTCCTATTGCTAAGTGACTGAGGCTACTAACTATACTATGCTAAAGTAAAGTCCCAGTTTCAATTACTAAATCAATCCTGGTGCAAACTGTTCATTTGAAAAAAAAAAAGTGAAAAAAAGGACATACTGTAACTGGTGGCATTTTATAATTAACCCCATAATAGTCGAACACCAAAGCCTGATAGAACTACAAAAGTTCTATTAAGGCCCTAGAAATCAAAAGTTGATGTATAGATAACACAAATGGAGATAAAAAAAAAACAAAATATCCGGTCTGTTGCCTGCTTTAATTATCGTATATTCAGTTTTATTTCAAGTAATTTATCGCGTACGACAAGCATGAGACTGCCACGAGCGATAAATCTCTTTGATGTGTATACAATAAAATATTAAATAATATATTTATTCCAACAAAGCCCGCAAGATGCCATATAAAGATATTACAATATATAAGTTTTATTTTTAATATAAGCAGGTGCGTTTCGTTATTCCTTCCTTTGATAAAATTCAAATAAATACTTCTTTAGTACGTTATTATTCCCCGCACCGTTACCCGTCTAAAAAATCACTTCTTTGTATAATAGATATAGGTTAAAGGTAAGAAAACATCCCTTTATTTCGTCCGTGAAAGGTAATTTTCATACAGGTGGCACGCGAAACAGTTACCCCGTCTCGTAACATGTAGATCTTTACAAAAATACTTCATATTTTGTCTGAAAAAATATATAGGCTACAAAAACATTCCCCAACACACGACACCTGCCTATCGAGCTTACAACATACCTTACAAAACTTATCAACAAAGAAAATCATCGTAGACAAACAATTTGATAGGAAAAGATATGTCTTGGGTCTTTTCTAAATACATCCAATTAAGACAGCGGTAGCATTAAATGATAACGCCCGTGAATGAATTACTTCAAGCATTTTGTCCTTAAAATGAAACATTTGGCAAGCGGTAGGACAGTATAAATTTTTCGAACCGTTTCTTTTCGTGTCACAACAGAAATTATAAAATCTGCCCATCCTTGCTGCATTGTGACATGTTAAATTGTAATCACAAGGTTTTTATTATAGAGGACTACTTATCGGGCAAACTTTTACTAGCGACCTTGTGCCGAACTAAAATCCCGAACATATTAAATATTCCGTCTGGTTCACTTCCCTGACACCAAGAGAAATTCAACCTGGCATTTGGATATTATGTATAGGTCCTAAAAATGACAAAACTCAGACCTCCATACTATGGTGGAGAAAGATATTCGTTAGAAATCTGCTGCAGTTGTACATGTCACGTAAACAAGCTCCACAACTTTCAATGTCCACCATGAATCCACCAAAGATCTTGAATATCTTCCTTTTCGATTGAGAATATCTCTCCTATCTGAGAATGGGGTCATTTTCTATAATAGATCACCAGTGGCAGCATAATTGTATGAAATTTCACGTTGTGTTTATATAGAAGACCATTTAATTTTTTAAGCATGTTATGAAAACCGGAAGTAGTCCAAGAGACTTTCAAGCAATAGGCTACTAGACTCGTATGAAAAAGCGGTCGATGTAGTTATTGTAGACTTTATTATCCATCCTACATTACATTCAACAATTAACAATTTGCTGGAGTTAAATTTCCTGTCTATATAACCAATCTGTGCTTCCAATTGACTTTTTCTAATTGAGCAAAACATGAATAGGCCTTTTAGTTCAAATCTATTTCCGGTTACTTCTTACTTAACCTCAACGAAAAATCCCAGATCAAAAGAACATCTGAAAAAGAGGAATTATACCATAGGGTCAAGTCAGATCTTGTAATGTCATATTAATGTCACGTACTTTTTGAACTTTTCCAAATTTAATATTGATTTTGTATTATATGTAGGATGAGGTTTGTTGAGTCATAAAGCCAGCTGTCGTCACCTGAAACAGAATCATTACTATGTATAAATGGTGGATACAGCCCATAACACATTGTATAATTAATTCACAACTTATAATATAATAGAATAATTATTCC